GAAAGAGTGAGAGAGAGAAAGTGAGACAGCAAGCTGCCAGATCTGGGACTCGAACCATATTCGGCCATGTGGCCTTTGCCACCAGCAGCCCCCACAGCTACTGTACATTTAATGGAAGAAGAAATACAAGCTTCGATTTTATGTTACAAAAGGAGCCAATAGCAGAACTAAAAGTAAGGTAATGACTCAGCGAAGTGATTAGACACCGAGGGCAGAAGCCGGCTGGGCAGACATGGAAGTTGTCTCTTGTTTTCAGCAAGGGATCAGTGGACACATTGTCCAAAAGTTGACAAATTAATAAATACCAATCCAAGAATTTGCTTTAACAATGCAAAAAATGGAAGCACCAGAATATCACATTACTTTGAGCATAACTGAAAAAGAATTTAATTACAAAAATGTAATTTGCTGCTGGAGGCCGGTGGTGATTTTTAAAGGCCTGCTGTTTTTTACACAAAGCCCTGTCCACCTTTATGTTTTGCTTTGCTCTTTTATTTTCCTATGTTCCTGGGACATTAAAACGAACATTTATTTCTAAAGTAGATTTGTAGTATTTCAGTCTTGAAAAATGTGAAGAAAGTAGACGCCGTCTGCAGCTGAAGGCACAGGATACAGTTAGAAATACTACTGAATCTTGCACAAGTAACTTAGAAAACAAGAATTTAAACGGAGAGGAGCGGCCGCCCCTAAACTCGGAATGTGCCCAAGTTGCTAAATCAAGAAACGGCCCTCCACGACTTCTGATTCACAGATTTTGGGAACACGCTGCCCGCCAGAAGAAAGAGAATCCTCCCACGATAAAAAGTGGCCTGGCCTTTCCGGCTGTGGTGAACACATGTTGGTCTGGATCTTTCAGAAAGGTATTTAATCGGTTTAGCTGACCAAAAGAGGGTTGGAGAGGCGTGGGCGTCGGAAGATCCGTTTTAAAAGCAAAGTATTTTCAGTACGATTTGGGGTTCTTACATGCCTTTGTGCAACTCTGTGGGTTTAGGAGCCTCAGACCAAGGGCCCGGGGAGGGGTGTTGGGATAACGGGAGTCCCAGGGACCTGCCCTCTAGGCAAAGGATCCTGGCCTGGAGCGTGAATCCTTCCCTGGGGGCTCCAGAAGCAAGTAAAGACGCGACACTCAAGTCCCTACCTGTCCTGGAGCTCACCTGGCGGCCTGCTTGGAGGCGGCGGCGGGCTAAGATCTCCCTCCCCACCCTGCTCTAAGAGGCAGTCAGGGGGCTCCCCGGTGTCAACCCGGCCCAGGGAGGCCCGGGACCAGCGTCTGAGCAGCGAGTCCTCTCCCGGGGGCAGGGGGCGGCGGCTGAAGTCTTGTGCAAGAGTGGGCGGCCCTGGGATC